AGCTATATTTTGATCATCTCTTACTACAATCTATTTTATTCATTCTATTTATCTTCAATTTTTCCTTGCAATTTATAGTTCTACAACTAGTGGAAAGCCTTTGATAAGAACTTTTATTTTCGTCTAATTATTCGATATGCTCCCTTGCTCCGCTCTACAAACTCAAAGAAAATTCGTTATATGCATATATCATGCATAGATCATTTCCCTAGTCTGTTGTGCTCTTTCCTTCGTATAACAATCAGCACAGCGTCTGTTTACATTCGAATGGTATGACATGCAGAAAAGATCTTATGAGACTTTCGTCAAATCATAGAATGATTATACTGTTCTTTATGTGATCTTACAAATAGAAACAGAAAACAACGGATGAACACAGAATGAAAAGACCGAGAAGTATAATTTATCGAAAGATGATTAATGCATATACTAAACTCTTGAATGAAATCGAATAGGCTCGAATGTATTAATATAAAAAGAATAATAATTGAGAGTTAAATGAACTAAATTTTCGAAATAAAGAAAATAAAACCGAATATTATCTAAAGAGTTACCGAAATTAAAGTTTTGTTAACTGTCACAAAATAATATTAACAGAAGATAAATGGAAGGACCGAAGCTAATACTATTAAAATATCTAATAGAACCTCTATATGTGATCAACTCATTATTCTGAGCGATCTATGGACCGTTCCAGCGAATTTTGTTGGAAATGAGCACCTCCTCATTCTGTTAGTGAGCGCATTTTATTGGTCCCATGAACAATAATAATCTCTATAATATGAGCAATATGTGTTTTATAAATGACACGTAGAATGAGAAAAAGAATGATTCTATGTCGTCTACCTTATTAAAAATAAACCAAGGGCAGATATTTGACTGAAGTTGACTAATCGAATGTAATTAAATGAAAAACAATTAGTATAGATAATGTTGTTCAGTGTGATATTACCATTTTTTTATAATAATAATCGGTAACATCAAATAATGTCACCATGTGTCAATTTACTTCTCTTGAAAAAAAGTGGAGCTGAGAAAAGATTCTGATCATCATTTATCTCAACGAGATTCAACAACCAAACAAGAACCTAAAAAATTATTCAATAATGAGCGCATCCTTAAACTGAGCACTTTTAACCGATCTCGATAGTGATGACATTAGAGAAGTTATTCTCTATACTATAGATTACAGTTATTCGTATAGTCGATGCGCATTTTTTAATTCACATTGAAATTGGCGAAAGTCCACTGTACTCTCGTCAATTGGCGAAATTTCAGAATCCCAATTTAAATCATATAGAATAAATTGATTTGTTTTTATTTTTCAATTGAAAATCAATCTGTTAATCATTTATTTCCTGTTCAATATTATTCATATAATGATATATGTTTAGTATTAGAAGCAACACATGAACTTATTAAACAAATAAAACTAATGATTTTCAAAGAATTAAAATTCAATAAGAACAGTTTATGATAATAAACAATATTCAAAACAAGAATTAACATTCAAAAACAAAATGAAGGTTATGATATTGTTGTTAGAACACCTGAAAGAATAATTGATTTCATTAAAAAAAATAGAATGATTGGTATGGGTTTTCAAGTAAATATTTATTTTTACATAAATTTTTTTAAATTTCTATTTAATTTGAAGGATGATGTTGATTTTAATATAAAAAAAAAGTTTATGAACATGAAAGAAAAAGTGAAATGATTGTTTTTTTCTGCAACAATTCCATAATGGTTAAAATAAAAAATCTTTCAGGTTATATATCATTTAATAAATCATCATTTAGTAATTTAATTTAAGATAAAAAACAAAAAAAAGTAGCAATTAATGTTGAATATTTATTATTTAAATTAAATAATTTATCTCAAAGAACAAATATAATAATAAAAAAATTTTAAAAAATATTCGAAAGATTTAAATAAAAGTCAAGTAATTAGTTTTTTTTTGTCAAACTAAACAAGAAGATGTTATTTATTATCAAAATCAAATCAAATTAAATCAACATTATCTCATCATCTTCATGGAAATCTTTCATAATTTCAAACGAGAACAAGTTTTAACAGTTAATTAAATATATTATTTCATTTTTTTTCCGTTTATATATTTACTTTATTAAATGAGTAGAATTTTCATGAAGGTGAAATTCTTTTATTAATAACAAAAGATATATCGGCACGTGGTTTTCATATTTCACAAGTTGATCTTGTTATTCTTACTGCACTACCACAGATTTTTTTCTTTTTATTATGTTTTTCTTCTTAAAAATATTTGAATAGAATTGAAAATCATATGTACATCGATCTAGTAGAACTGGAAGAGCTTATTATAGTGGAACTAATATTACTGTTTATGATCATCAGCAAATTAAACTATTAAATATTATTCAAAAAAAAATGCTGTTTGTCTGACTTTTTTCTTTTTTTACACTTTTTTAATTTTTCTTGTTGTTTTTTTTGTTTTAGAATATTAAATTTATTATTATTGATTGAAAATCTTTAGACTCATTTGAACAAGAAAATTTAATATAAAACAAACTTGTTTTGTTTTCTTGTTTAAGTTAGGCGTTATTCATAGAACACATCCATATAGATGGACGAGTCTAATGTATCTTGACGTACAAGTGATCGTTTTAGAAAAGTTTGCTTTTTTGAGATGTGTTTGTCTGCTGATGGGAAAATCTTTTCCAACCTAACCCATGGCCATCATTTAAAAAAATTTTTTTTTGTTCGTCTTGAATGTTCACAGCGGAGATGCACACGGTTCGATTCTTATCGAAATTGATACAGTTTAGAAATTTTTTCTTTTGAACATGCCTTTTTGTTGTTCACATCCGTAGAAAATTGTGAAGCATATATATATATATATATGTAAAGCAAACAAAAAGATGTCTTCACTAGCAACAAATATATTCATAGACTTTCTACAATCTTTCTTTATTCGTCTACGGATGACAGAAATTCGGTTAATCTATTAAGACATTTAATAAGTTTTAGTGGTGATCAAGTATGACGTTGAAAATAATATTTTGCTACGGGTGGTACTGCTATTATTTCAAATAGAAGACATAATGAATTTTATATTAAATGAAAGCTCGTTAAAAATGGGATTTGTTGATACCAGTTTCAGAAATTTTATACTTTTTTTGTAATGAAAAAGTAAAGTGACATTTATTGAAAAATGAATTAATATACTTTTCTTGGATATTTTTACATGATTCGATAGAGTTCGCCGAGCTCTACAAAACTGTAGATATTAAAAAAAATTTGAGTTATTTTTTATGATAAAAAATTCAAAAACTTTTTTACATAAGGATACTAATGGTAAACAGCTGAATTTAGTGTAAAAAAGACCACTTTTTTCCCCATAAAAAGTGTAAAAAGAAATGGATGTTTTTCAGTGGCGTAGCCAGGATTTTTAGACCAATGGGCAAAGTTCTCTTATGCTAGAAAAAAATGATGGGCGAAATGGGCAAGGTTTTGATTAATGGGCCAAAAGTTTTTTGACTCAACCAAGTACTGTTAACGTAAAAAAAACACAAAAAAATGAAACGAGGTTCTTCTAATGAAATTTGCATAAAAGTCAGATCTTAAACCCCCCCCCCCCCAAAAAAAAAAAACTCAATTTTCGTCAAAACCATGAAAATTGAGATAAATGTGTGAGAAGATAGTCAGAAGTCTGCTCTTTCAAAAGAGATATAGCTTTTTAGTTCGTACATTGTTTTAGCAAAAATTTTTGCTGTTTTCCATCACTACCTACTTGAAAAATAAGCTGGTTTTGGTGAAATCGAAAAATCTTTTTCGTTTTTTCTCAGTTCATGATTTGTCGAACGCCCAAATCAAACTTCTCTGCCAAGGCTAATTATATAAGATGGTCCAAAAGTAACCGAGTAGTCTTTGATTGCGAATCACTTTTGATAGGAACAAGATAGAGAGCTGCAGTTTTCATCGTTTAAAAGAGAAAAAGACTGCATCAAATCTTGAATACCAAGATTTTTATGACAATATTCACTCAGAGTCTCCAGAAATTTTTTGTAATAGAAATTATTGTGTAATGTGAAAGTTTTAGAATTTAATTTTCAGTAGTGAATCAGAATCGTTAACTCAAGTTCAATAATCTGTGTAGGTTTAGTGCCAAAAAGATTTAGCAAATCATTAGTTCTTAACATTTTACTACGCGTTCTCAGCAGATTCTTCGCGAAAAGCCGACGTTTTCTCTGATTTCTTGACGAAAAATCGACCTTTTAGACCTATTTAAAAAGCCTAAGTTTTATAAATAAACATGTCCGAAAACCATGAGAAGTTTTGTTATAAAAATCCGGTATTCAAGATTCGATGCAGTTTGTTTTCTCTTTTAAACGATAAAAACCGCAACTCTCTATCTTGTTCCTATCAAAAGTTATTCGCAATCAAAGGCTGCTTGGTTACTTGTGGACTACCTTGTATGCATTTAATTTTTTTTGTTTGAAACAGCATGTCAAAACGTGCGGCACCAAAGAGTCCTTCTTTTTAGTTAAGCTTTTTTCTGTTACATGTACAATCACTTTTATAAATTGAGCTCCATTTTTAGAGAGTTTTTTGACTCATCAAACTTGTGATTTCTTCTCTCCTTTCAAGAAATAAAAGTTCAAAAAAAAGAGTCTTTGGTGTCCTGCCTCCTGACATGCACTTTCTACCAAAAAATAAATAAATATATGGGGGTGGCCAGTCTGGCCGGAGGGTCCAACTTTTTTTTATCATTTAACTTCTATAATACATCAGAATAATATGATTTTTTTACCAGTTATAGTACTTATGTAGTGCTAATAATTTACCATTGTTCGGGTTATATATCTTTTCAAAAACAAAAATAATCAAGCGTTTTCGTAAAATCTTTTCTGAAATGCTTTTTAATCAAACTTATTGTAAATCGTACTTGATATTTGCAGCAGTAAGAAATATCAGTGACATAGTTTTATTCAAATAATCGATCACCAACTACAAATGACGTATCATGATCTATGACTACGAATAGGATGTTTACACAATTGAAGGTTACATAGTGCAGAAACAACATGTGCAATTGTAGTGATTTTGTCAATATCATCATAAGGTCCTCTGTAAACACTTCCTAAAATAGCATAATTTTTAAGACGTTGGTTAATGTTTTCAATAGCTGCTCTTGCACTACAAATAGATTGATTAAAGTCTTTATCTTCAGTTGTTAATTGACCACCACGAGGTTTTTTTTTTGGAGTAACAACATATTGTTCACCAACATATCCTTTATCACCAATAATTTGTACATTTTCTTGTGTATGTTCTAATAGACCTGATTCTCTTAGAATTGTAATATCATGAACACTACCTGGATAACATCTGGATACATGTACAATTCGATGATGAAAATCACAAGCTATTTGTACTTTAAATCCATAATTTGTTGGACTTTTTGCATGATAATAGACTTTACGTTCTTCAGCATCTTCAGGTTGATGAATTGCAATAAAAGTCGAATCAACTATTAACTTGTGATGTTGTTCAGGTCCGTGAATTGTAGTTTCATCATCCATATTATCAGGTAATGAAATCAATTTCGGACAAATACAGGAATATAAAATATCTATCACCGCTGACAAAAAGTAATTTACTGTTGATCGACCGAAATTTAATTCTGTTGCTATATACCGTTCGGCATGATAATGTTTCAAATACCATAATGTAACAGAAAGTAGATTTATGGGAGAGAGATATGGAATATCTGTACTTGTTGCTTGTTGTTTTCTATTCGTACAATATTCTACCAATGATTGTTCACAAAAACTATATAACTGTCGTACTTGTTCGATATCATGTCCTGTATGCTGTGTACAGGAATTATTACTAAGACTCCATTCAGACCATGGACGCTGCTCTAAAAATAGAAATTTACATGGAGACTAAATTACGAATGTTGTTTACCATCATACAACATTTGAATTTCCTGCATACGTTCATTTTGCCTCTCTTCCTTTAATTCTTGTCTTTGTTGTTCAAGTTCTGGTGCACAATAATTACATCTTTGACGGTGCCGAAAATAGTTTTTGTACAAACCAGATTTTTGAGAAGGAGTACACGTCCAGACTAACATTGTTTTACAATTGTTGCAATATGTAAGACGTTCATTTATAGTAACTTCACATTGAGGACAGTTCCATTCAACTTGTGAAGAAGAATGCATTATAACGAGATGTAGATGATTGTATCGTGTTAGTGAAAATATTTCAAAATGACAGAACGAACAAAGAAAAATAAGAAAGAAGATCAAAATTAGAATAGAAACGACGCAATTGAAGCAGGGTGGCTATAAGAAATGAATCACGTATTCAACGTGTAGGGCATATACATTAATGTGAGAATGAGAGAATATTCGATCAATAAAATGTTTTCTTCACTAACCTCTTTGGCAGTGATTTGTGCATTTTGAAGATATCCATATTTAACTTTAGATATGTTTGTTTCTATTTATTTTTGACCCAAACTCCAAATGCATGATGGATTGCTAAGTCTTTTTACTGAGAAATTCATGTAGTCGATAAACATGATAGTGTACTTCACCAATACCTTATATGAAAGCGCTTAATTATTTTTGTTTTTGAAAAGATATATAACCCGAACAATGATAAATTACTAGCACTAGATAAGTACTATAACTGGTNAAAATATTAGTTCCGTTGGCGAGTCACACTTGAAAACATTCCCTTGTTAGATAACATTGGAAAAATTTAGAGGTACAACTCTTGACATTTTTAAAGTAAATACTCATTTTGTATTATTTTATATTTCAATGTTAGCGGTTATCCTTATAATATATGTTTATATTGTAATGAAATGGTGTAACTCAAATTTTGAAAATACATTGAAAAAGTTGCTTTACTTTGTAGCAGCCGTTTTGAGCTGTTTTTACAGACTATATTTTAATATCGTTCAAACATGTACTTTTTACTCAAAGAGAATACATAGTTAGAAACTTCTTTCAATGTAGATTTTTTTTATTTTTCCAAAACTTGTTTTTGCAGATAATAAATCGAAGGATATTTGTCCAAGGACTTTTTGTAACATCTGTTAGATATTCAATACTTACTTGCATTGAAGATTTTCACCGCATGCCTCATATTGTTTGCTTGATGGGACATCAGGATGATTGCATAGCTCACTCTATTCATAAAATAAATATAAATATAAATACATATTATCTATATGAATAATAAACGAACTTCACGTTGAGCACAAACTTGACAACAACCACATCTATCGAGTGTCAATCCAGCAAGACATTCTTTGTCCGAAGCCTATGAATATTAATTGAGAAAAAGAAAAATATGAAAACAAAATGAAGAATATTTACTAATGGACATTTCGATGTATCACATGGTTCACATGTTCGAACTTGACCCGTAACTGTTGAATAGAAAATTGCTAAAATAAATAGTGTTAAAAAAGCACGAATAGCCATCGTTTATTATCAATGTTAATGAGTAGATATGTTGTTTGTTCTTTCTTCTTCTTTCGTTCTTGTTACTTCAGATATTATTTTGTACGATTGCGGTTAGTCGAGAGAGAACGACGGACGTTTGGTACGACAACGACGATGATATATTGACAAGTCTCTAACCAACACAGAGAAAGCGAGAAGAGAAAAAAAAGCGGCGGCGACGACGATGATTATACAAAAAAGAAAAAAAGAAGATGGTTTTGCCTTCATTTAGACATATTCCATACGAGCATATCTTTGTATACTAATCTACTTAGCTAAGCAAAAATAATATCCTTCCTATTTTCCTTCATATCCTCCATATGTAATAATGGAAAAAGAAAATTCTCGAAAAAAACATAAATAATCTTTCCAGTCATAGGCGAGTAATAGCGTTGTCTTGTTATTGCATAAACTTTGCCTTTTTTCTTTCGATATTCATATCATTCATACTATTAGTAAGAGATTGTATAATAAGACATTCAGCATATAAGAAAAGACAGAAGAAAAAATTCTACCATATAATGTTTTGATGTAGCTATGTGAATAATAATGCAGAACAGATAATACTCGATATCGTCCTTCAGCGCTTTATAAAAACAACAACTAACATAGTTACTACAGAATAATTTTCTTATCATTTGTTTGTTTTTTGAGTTAGTAAATTTATTAACTGAAATCTAAATTTGGTGATATGAGTACATTGTTGAAACAACATCATGACATAATATCTGATATAATCTATGTAAAGTCAATTGCTTTTGATAATCAATTTTATATTGCGAAACAACAAAAGACAGGATCAATTAAACATGGTTCACGTTTTTGTCTTGTTTCAATAATTGAATCAAAATCCGATGAATTAAATGAATATTTACAAGAACGTCAATATATGATTGATATATTTAATAATCTTTTAACAAAACGATTAAGAGCTGATCATAATCTTTCACTCGATTCATTTAAACTTTTACGTCAATTAGGTGAAGGAGGTTATGGAATAGTTTTTCTTGCCTATCATACAGACACAAATGAATATGTTGCATTAAAAGCAATTAATAAATCTACATTAGTTGAAACAAATGAACAAAATACAATTATTTCTGAAAGACAATATGCATTTGCATTACATCATCCAAATATTGTAAATAAAAAAAAATCAGTATTTGATATTTGGTCAGTAAAATAGATGAAATGATCAGTACTAAAGTTAGCAATAAAAAGTATAAGAAAAATAAATTTCGATAAATAAAAAAAAGTCATAGAATAAATAAGAATATTGAATAGAAATTCAAAGATGTAGAATAGGTTAAAAATGATCTGTTCGTCTTGAATGACATAAACCTTGAATTTTTTTTGTTAGTCATTTCGGGAGATGATATATGACTAGACATTTGCAATGGTGGTCATATTCCGTCCAAAATAACTCAACGAGGGGTAAAGAGTCGAACTAATATCTACACAACAAAAATCAAATCATTTCCAATTGAGTTGGTATATATATTTTTTTTTTATAAAACACGATCTAAATGGAGTGTGGAAGTTTATAGAGTAGAAATTTACACCCGCTCTTTCCTGATACACACAGACCGTGACATTTGTTGATGATATACGATCATAGACCGTATATCAATAACGTCTCGTTATAATGGAAGAACTACTTTCTTATTAGATTTCTGAAGGATTAAGTAAAATGATGATGACGAAATGTGTCCTAAAATAGATAGAATAAAACAATCTCCCTGTGATTAGTAACAGCAGCTACATCGTGTTTCATATTTTAATCCCACAAGGATTGAGCTGACAGCTTTTTTTTGAAGAATCATTTGGAATACAAATTATATTTTTTGCTAATCGTTGGTTGTATAATGACTATTTTTGCGTTGATTGAAGAGGAATTTCATGCAATTGGCCGACTACAGTTGAAGCTATTGTCAAAAACCTTCAAAAAATATGACGTATTTTAAAAATTCAATTACTTTTTTGTTTTTAGGATGTTATTTGTGTTTTTCATATGCAGAGTTGTATATTTTCATATTAATCATCATTTGATTTGAACCATTTGAATTTCTATGCTTACCGTTTAATTTCATTGTGTGCTAATTAATTTTTTTGTTATATTTATTAACTGACCATTTAAGAAATATATTAATTTGATAAGTATTTCATTTACTGACTATTTCATCTATTTTACACATGACGTAATTAATAGTCAAATAAAATTATTAATTATAAAATTTTCAAAATAGGTTCAACTTATAACAAGTTTTAAAGATAATGAATATGTTTATTTAGTATTTGAATGGTTACAAGGTGGAGATTTATATTCATTAATGAGTTATCAAAAATTAACTGAACTTCAAGCAAAATTTTATTCAGCTCAAATTGTTATGGCTCTTGATTATTTACATGGGGTATTCAAAAAAAAAAATTTTCTCTTAAGTTATCGTTTAATTATCAAACAGGAAAGTAAACTGACATATAATAAGATCTTCCATGGCTGATCTGACTCGTTTGTCATTCTCTTCGACATATATCTAACAACCTCTCTATTCTTTTTTCATGCCATTATTATGACAATAATAGAATAGAAGTCACTGAGATCAATTTAAGAAGAAGACAGTAAAACCTTTGTAATGTGAGTCTCTAAGGAAATATACACAAGTGTTCTATTCTTATGTATTCAAGAGAGCAGAAGAAGTCGAATAAACTAATGCTAACTTTCAGAAGGTTGTTGAAGAGAAAAAAAATGTTCACAGTTCACTATAAAGAAGTGTTCACATTGCAGAGACTTTTATAACAGAAGATTTTATAGTCGAATAAACGTTTATGCATTGAACAGCGATGGTATGTAGAAAAATAAAGAAATACAAAGACAGTCATCTTAAAAAGAAGAATTTGGCTTTTGTTCAAGAACATTTTGACATACGAAAAAACAAATGTCACTGACAGTATTAGGATCAAGAGAGAAACGACGTTCTGTAACTGGTAAATTTGTATTAATGATTTTTCTAAAAATCATCATGGATTTAAGTATATTCAATATTCAGTCTCCCTTGAATACTATACGGTTTGATCAAAAAAATTCTTCGAAATATTCAATGTACTAATTTGTTGAAAACTTTTTTCGTTTGATATAGAAATTAGGCAGGTACCTGATAAGTACCAATGCACTGAGACGATTGTTAGCAGAGTACCCAAACAAGACCCTGTGACGTATCAGTAACAGGATATCCGAAAAACTACCTTGCTGACAATCGACTCAATACACAGATACTTTGGACTCAGTACATTACACTACTAAGGAAAGAAAAATACACGGAGGCCAAATCTAAAGATTATGATCTGATTAGGACTCTACTTTCTATACGTTAGATTGAAGTTATTTTGAATTAAACGATTAAATAGAATACTGTAAGAATTTGTTCACATGAAATCGACTTCTATTGGCTAATTTTGATTCTTTTCAATGACTTCTAAACGACCAGAGACGAAACAAACATTTGTTTTTTGCACATATTTGTTTTATCTTTTGCAATAAAACATGAATAAAGTAGTGGCGAAGCCAAGATTTTTAGTCAGAAAGGAGGCTCACGACATAGGTTCTCCAACTGATGAATCACTTTTGAGCCGGAAGCATGCGCATCATTACCTACAATGTAAAGAACGAAAAATACATCTGAAATTTTCACAATAAATTATTCTCATCAAGGCTTCTTTCAATACAAAGTTTTAAATCGAAATTCGGATATTAGCTTTCTTGATGTTCCTGAGAAGGACCACGATATTATGTTGAAAAATACTGCAAATATCCAATAAGCCATCAGTAATAAGCTATGAAATCAAACTCTTTTCGAAGTATTTATAACTCATTAGGGTGTGCACGATGCACATAGTTCCAAGTTAATGGCGATTCATCAGCTGGAAGACTTCTCTCGTCAACCACTGCCTGTCCTGCTGTGGTATCGGCCCTAGAATAAAGGAAGGTTATGGACATATTTTTGGATAGTGTAAAATAAAATTTTCATATTAATCTTATTTTATAGATAATATAGAAATGTTGTTTTTGTTTTCTTTTATATTCCAGTGCAAAGTTGTTTTTCGTGATCTTAAACCTGAAAATGTCGTATTAACACAACGCGGTTATATTAAATTAATCGATCTTGGCTTAGCAAAAATTATTCGTGGTTATAGTAAAACATTTTGTGGCACGCCACATTATATTGGTATTCATCTTTTTTTATCCCAATTTCTATACTTAATTAATTTACGTGTACAAAAATTTTTGCACAATATGTCATTGTAAGAAATGAAAAAATAATCAGTTAGAATTAATATGTCATTGTAAGAAATGAAAAAAATAATCAGTTAGAATTAATATGTCATTCTCTCTCTCTCTCTGATTATATATATATCAAAACTTTTTTTTCTGGCTAAAAGGTAATTCAGTCAAAATAGAATCTTCAATGATGGCTAAAATTGACGTTCCAACAAAACACTAAGTTAAAAGGTATTGATAAATATGTTTGCTCATTCTGTGGAGATCTTTCTAAATGGATGTTTAGAATTTTTTAATGGCTTATGGTTAGTTATTATTGAGCAAATATTCAACTAAAAAAAAATTCGAGTGAACTTTTTTTTCTCGTTTATTTATATATTGTTTGATAGAGCTTGACGAGCAGATCACAAACATATACTTCTTATTTCTATTCAAACATTACTTGACTGAACATGTAGCATTCAAAATCAAGAAATCGCTTTTTTCACAAAAGTTATCAAATGTTAATTAGGTTATTTTGATTCAGCATTAAAAACTACGGAGAAAATTGTTGATTGATTAGATTTAGAGTTAATAAGGTTGAAAATTCCTATTTAAGATAAATAGTTCCAACATGTCTCATAGCACATATAGTTTTTTGTAGTAAGTATCTTATCTGATTAAAATTGCCAGATTGTGAGCTACTACTTTTCAATTCTAAAAAAAAAGTAACGTCTAAATTAGAACGTATTCAATCGCCTAAACATTTATTTCAATATACAAAACCATCACTATCAAAATTAGTTTTATATGTTAGATCTAAAACTTTGACCTTATACTAGAGCTAGTAATAGGTTAAAAATGGTCACATATCATCGCATAATATGTATACACTTAAATCTTTTAATTCTTTCTTGTCACTTTCACTTAACTTTGCAGGTTTGATTTAAGATGAAAACAATGCTAAAATGATTCGTACCATCGGTAGAAGTATAATCAAATTTGTTTTTTAATAATAGAACAAGTTCAGCTATTTATTTAATTACGACATAACATCATACATTATGAATCTTATCATATTCAAGTTTCAGTAAGATTTTTTAAATTTAGAATGCTACATTTTCAGTCGTTCGAGTCTTTTATGGTTGTTTTTCTGCCAAGCAATGCTTGAATCTAAATAAAAGCTTTACATCTGTGATCAATTTTGTCAAGCTCTTAGTCTCCTATGGAAAATTTATTCCGTATTTTCCAGTTCTGTTTTCCATGGGAATCGAGAACGAGAACGATATTAAAAACGGGCGTTTCCGAAAATCGTTTTGTTTTAATGTAAATACTATCCAAACTTTGTTCTTAATTGAAATTTAATTATCACAACTAAGATTTACATTGTGATTATGATCTTCAACTAAAATATATCCCAATGACTAGCAAATAATTTCTTAGAGTTTGAATGACGATAGTTTTTCACCCCAAAATACATATAATTTACCTACACGAAAAATTTTGTACAAGCGCTATTTTTGACATTCGTCAGAAGTTTATTCTCAATAAACTAACTTTAGACCTGAAAAAAAAATCCTTAATATATAATTAGAAAGAGCATGAAATTTTGTTTCTCTTCAATGATTTATAAGTAGATGAAAATTTATCAAACATATTGTGCAAAGACTTTTTACACACAGATTGTCTTTTGTTTTTATTCACACAGCACCTGAGGTAATCATGCATCATCCATATACAGTATCACCTGATTATTGGACATTAGGTATAATTATACATGAAATGGTAACTGGTGATGCACCTTATGATCGATCATATAGATTAGATACAAATACAAACGAAACTGAATCATTTGATTATGAATATGATTATCGATCGAAGAGTACGATTGAAAATGATACATCGGATTTTATTCGACTGTCATCAAAACATTATAACATGTAAAACAAAACAAAAATCTTTTTATGCAATGTTCTAGGCTTTGTTTTTATTATTATTATTATTATTATTACTGTTGGTATAATTCATAATTTTATATTCTAAATAATCTCAGAGAAACTATGATGAATTCAGAAGACAATGCAATTACAAAAAAAAGCAGACATATTGAAATTCCATTGAGACTTCTCATTGTATCTGAAAATAACCAGAGAAGAGTGATGTATGATTATAGTTGAAATAGAAGCAAAAAATTTCAATTAAAATATTTAATATGCATATGTCATTTTTTTATTTGATATTATTCTTGATAAAAACAGTCCCTTATGAGAAAACAGATATAAATGCAAAAAAAATCTTTTTAAACGTTTTATTCGATTGATCTGTTCTTGAAACGAAAATTTATTATATGTTGAATAATCTACAGAGAAAGATATTGTATTCATTGTAAAATATGAAAATTATTCAATCCCTATTGAGATTTGTTTTATAAGTCAAAAAGATTTTTTTCTAATCTCTAATGCATATGATTTTATGTTTTAATATATGATGAAGAAGTTTGTGTTTGATGTCTTTTGTGATAGGTTATTAAGCATAGGCAATACTGCCCATATGTTAAAATCTAGTTTCCAAAACAGAAGAGAGTATTCATTTTATTGAGCTACACCAACAAGAAATTTCGCTTCTTAAGTAGACTTGGATACATTCGACTATTCTCAAAGACCATATCTTTTTTAAAATCGTATTTCATTTCATTCAAATACTTAATTTTTTTTTCTACAATAATAGGTATCTTCGTATAATCAATGGTTGTGCATCAATGAATCTTAAACATGTAACTAGAAATTGTGCATCAATTATACATGGTTTACTTCAATATAATATTGAACAACGTCTTGGTTGTGGTGTACGTGGTGCTCTTGATATTATTGAACATTCTTGGTTTGATCAAATTAATTTTTGGACATTATATCAACAAAAATATATTGCTCCATTTATTCCTATACGTAAATATATAATTACAGATCAACATCAAAATGAAACAATACTTAAATTTACTGCAAAAAATCAATATGAAAATGAATTTAATGAATTTTAATAACTAATGGAGTTGTTCTATAGATATGCATAGTGTTGAGGTTTTTATTCATATCAAGTCACGAAATATAATAAGTTATTATGATTGACAATGTATATAAAGGAAAGACAGATATGAATAAACTCTTGTTATGCGTATAGTAACATGTAATAAGATTGAAATCGTATATTGTTTTGATTATATTGCAATTCATTTCCGAGCTAATCCTAACATTATTTTTACAATAGAACAATTATTATGTACGCAATCAGAATTTCAATTGAAGATTAATGTTTATATAACAAACTAATTGTTTTTCCTGTATTATTTCCGTTATAAAATAAAATGCATTATATGAAATATTACGATCAAAATAATTTTTCTATTCTATAGAAAACAAATTCTATGTTTTTTTTTTTATTTTTTTGTTTAGATGTCAAAATATTTTTTATTAACATTTGGACTTATTTCATTCGTATTTCTTGCTTCATTTATTTCATGTTCTCCTATATTTTTTCCAAATGGTATTTCGGATTATTATAATAATCGATATTCTGATATGATCGATAGTGATGAAGAAAATACAGGAATTCTATCACCAAAATTTTCATCGTTTATTCGATATCAACGTTCACCATTATATTATCCTCGTACAAATCGTAATGCATGGTTCCGTGTATCAACTTATCAACATTTCAAACCATCGAAATTCGACGAAATACATAATGGCGATCATGTTATGCGATGGGGACGATAAGAACAAAAAAAAAATAAAATAAAAAATGCCCACAAGTGAAAAATTTCTTTTTTTTTGCTTTAATAAATCTGGAATGACATGCATATTGTGTGCGTGTTCAGTAACAGACAGGTGATGAAAATAAGATGTTAAAAAAGAAAAGGCAATCAATTGCTTGCATGCAACTAGCAGCACATCTTCTTTTGTTAATATGATCTAATCCACACCTACATCGATTATAAGAGTTATTAAATGTCATTTCAATCAAATTTTATTACTTATTATTTCTAGTCTATGTTTATATAAAATCAGAATATAGTTAGCTAAACATAAAACTAACTTGCTTAACTGGTAAGATTGAGATAAATATTGAAGGCTCACAAATTTTTTCTTTTATACTCAAAGATTCAAATTAGATAAAAAAATATGCATTCGATTATTGTTTTCACACTTATATTGATCAATGTATCTCTTCTGTTCACTATGCCTTCACCAATTATGAATCGAGATGATGAATTGCAAAATTATAATGATATGGCATATCGCCCATTAGTCAATCGATTTCAAATATCTCCATGGGTACATAAACGTAATCCAGCTTTATGTGACTATCGTTTCCAACTGCGACCATTACCATTTACATCTTCATTATGTTCTTATGGTCAGTAAAAAAACATAATAAAAACTTCAATAACTTATGGTATTTTTATTAATTTAGGTCAAAATAAAGAAGACGATACTCATCAAGTTCAACTATTTAAATATGGTTAAATGTTTTTCAAAGATTTTATTACACAATAAACTAATCATATACTTTATTTCGAATAAACTATATCATGAAAAAGAAATTCATATAATATATAAGGAGTACTGCAAAAGTTTTTTCGCTGATCGTTTAGACAACCATTTGACAAATCTGATTTTAGTGTTGTATTCAAAAAGATATTGCTTCTCATGAACAATGCACTTGTGTATTCAATTAAATCAAGTCATGGAAGTCGTTTTTCGGATCGTCTTTTCTAAGACCCATTTATCGTTCGCTTTAACACAATTAACATTGCATTGACAACGTTAAATTTCATTTCATGTAGTTGATATCTGACTTTTGAAGACTGAAAGAAGTAACATGAACTTCGATCTGGTGAAGATACTATCATTGGATGTGATTTCATAAGTCTTCAATAAATTAACAATGCCACTCATTCTTATTCGGATGTTCAATAATATCACTAACCTAAAAGAAACACAAACATACAACAAAGTTCGAAACTTTGAACTTGGAAATTTTGCCGTTACATTGAAACTACAGGTTTTAGATGAGTCGAATGAAAAAAATGTTAGTGTGCTCTATGTATATCGGTTTTTGTCATAAATTGCAATAAGAAAATAATTGAAGCCATTATTATTCGAAAAAAAAATTACTCATGAAAACTTTAATTATCATGTATTTGTTTTACACAAATTTTCCAAGAATTTATTCGTAACATCTTATGTTTTGATTATTTCATTTTACATACAATAAACAAAACTATTGAGTAAATCTTTAGAAATTCTTTCAAAACATGATAAAGATCAGATAAATAATTTACGCTTCTACACTTTGCTTTAAGGATATTTCTTTCTATACAGGCCTCATTGCATTGTTTTATGTCTTAAATGATAGACCACAAAGAAAAATATAATTGAAAACTTTTGTTCACTCACTTTTACAAAATATAACGAGAAAAAATGTACAATTTATTATAACACCAATATCAATATTTTAAACTCTTTTTTATTATAAATAATTCGAGGTTTTTGATGCTGTTTTCATTTTCTACTTTCAAATTTATGTTTGGTGATTTTTAATTTGATTCAAATTTGGGTTGTTAAGCTGATCAATTTCTGTTCGAAGCTAAAAGGAAGCTACAGTTTTTTCCAATAAAAATTATTGAAGATGAATATAGGCTTTAAACGATCGGATCGCCGAAAAAACAATATCGTGCTTTTTTAGCTTCTGGAATTCTGTTTGAATTAGTCAGAACGATAGAGTAAGCAGTTCTCTACAAAATGAAGCATCTTGCAGCTCTCTATGATGTTTTTTGACAGATTATACATCAATCTTGCTGAAAGCATCGAATTCATTTTTTTCTGTTATTTCATAGGGAAGCATAATTTTAGTGTATTCCGTAAGATTGATGTATGTCGATCAAAACACGTGGTGGATATACGTAGTTCAAACAGAATTCAAGGAGTTATAAAGATGATATGTTGGCTTGTCAGAGGTTATGTCACTGGAAAACTAGTACTACTGTATATTTTTCTCCAACGGTATAGGAACACTGCATTTCAGGAGGAGGGCTTTGCCACTAGTGATCGGTCTATTATTTGATTTTTTTATCATGTAATAAATATTAGTTTGTTCGAAATTTCATAAAAAAAAAGAGGAGCAGATAGTAGAAGAATGTTAAGTTCTTTTGAATGGTTTATATGTTTTCATTTAAGTAATTCTTTAGTACTGAACTAAACTCACGGCTTTGCTTCAATAATATTATATGAATAGATAATAGTAAATCTTAAAGAATCGAAGATGATATATCTAAATTTCTATATAGTTTGAAAACAAAAACAATCGCATTTTTATTAGGTCATTTCTTCGTTAACATAACAATGAATGCTCACCAAAAAAAATGAAGCCTGAAATATTTTCATAAAACATGAAAAACATTAGAACAAAAAACGGCAGCTTATGCGGAAAGTTCTTCTTTGCAAATAGTTTTATATATATAATTTATAAAATAAACGACGCGTAAATTTTTTTTGAGTTTAGTTTTTTGTGTATTTAACTTTCAATATTTAAGTTGCATGAAACTTTCCGAATATGTTGAGACTGATATTCATCAAACAACGGCTAGAAAAAGCTTATTTCTCAACACGACGTTCTCTATATATCCTCATTCTATATATTTAGTTTTGCTTTTTCTGAAAGTGCATGTTAGACGGTTGTAATTGATAGAGTTCTTCTTTTTTTTTTTTTTGTAAATTCTTAGTTATCTGGAGATAGAAGAACGGCAAGTTTAATATACCGGAAAACTCTGAAAAAATAATTATCTACATATTTATAGAAGTATATTTTTATATAATAATATAAAAGTTTAGGTCGAAAAAAGGATCTTACGGAAATGAACTTTTTCGAGAAATATGCGACAGACCGTTTTATAAATGCATTTACTCGATACCATCTAATTACTTCTAAACAAAGAATTTAGTTACCATCCAAAAAAAAAGAGCCTTATGGAAAAATTCAATTCATGCCAATACAGTTTTTTGTTTAAGTTGTTTCTCATATCACAACTCGTAAATAATAGTTCCATATTAACTTTAACCTTCAACCAAATGTCTTCTAATAAGAATCTGCTAAATAATACATATACAGAATCAAGAATGTTTACTTTGTTTTTGAATATGAACATTGAAAAACTTTTGATTCGATGAAGGAAATCGAATATATATTCAAAATTNAATATTTAAGTTGCATGAAACTTTCCGAATATGTTGAGACTGATATTCATCAAACAACGGCTAGAAAAAGCTTATTTCTCAACACGACGTTCTCTATATGTCCTCATTCTATATATTTAGTTTTGCTTTTTTTTGAAAGTGCATGTTAGACGGTCGTAATCGATAGAGTTCTTTTTTTTGTAAATTCTTAGTTATCTGGAGATAGAAGAATGGCAAGTCTAATACACCGGAAAACTCTGAAAAAATAATTATCTACATATTTATAGAAGTATATTTTCATATAATAATATAAAAGCTTACGTCGAAAAAAGGATCTTACGGAAATGAACTTTTTCGAGAAATATGCGACAGACCGTTTTATAAATGCATTTACTCGATACCATCTAATTACTTCTAAACAAAGAATTTAGTTACCATCCAAAAAAAAGAGCCTTATGGAAAAATTCAATTCATGCCAATACAGTTTTTTGTTTAAGTTGTTCCTCATATCACAACTCGTAAATAATAGTTCCATATTAATTTTAATCTTCAACCAACTGTCCTCTAATAAGAATCTGCTAAATAATACATATACAGAATCAAAAATGTTTACTTTGTTTTTGAATATGAACATTGAAAAACTTTTGATTCGATGAAGGAAATCGAATATATATTCAAAATTCAGCATTTGCTTATTATATGGAGTCTTTCATGTTTATTATTTGAAAGAATCGCTACTAATCTACATTATTCCAGCTATGAAATATGTTCTTACAATTATCAAAAGACTATGATCGAATATGTGTCATTTCACATTAATTTAAACTGATCTTGTATGTCTATATACTTTTTAATATTTATATGTCACGCATATGTAAATTTGTTGAATACACAACAACAAAGAGAAAGAAAAAGAAAAGTAGCAACTAATAATAATAATAATAATTGACGAAAAAAGAAGAAAAAGAAAAGGACATGTTTACATATACAAGTTATTTGTTTACAGACCTACACAGACAGACAAACAAAATCGGGATATTTATTTCAATGAGATTATCTATGTAAAATTCTATTGAACGAGATTTAATGTTGAAGGTTTTTGTGTTGTTGATGATGATGATGAATCAACTGATGTTGTTGATGCTGTAGCTGAAACATTGTTTGATGAATTAGTAGCTATATATACAAACAAGATATTTAAATATTGAAAAAAGCAAAAGTTTGAAAACGAAAAAAAAAAAAAAAAAAAATAACAACGATTTTCATTTTCTCATTTATTCTATGCTTTCTTTCGCATCGTTTATCAAATAAAAGACAATAGAAAAAAGAAAAGAACATTTTTACGAGCATAGTCAGATTGAAAACTAAATACGAACATCATTTATCTTTTTTTGTATGTAAAAAAGATATCAATTTTAATGTTATTTTTTCAACAGTTGTGCTACAAATAAATTTGTTCACTTTTTTTTTTGTTGTCTTTTATTTTTACACTCAAACTTAAACTTTAATGAGTAAGGAAAAAAAAGTTTTAGTATTGCTTTTAATCATTGAAAATGAAAATCAATAAAAACAAAATAAAATTCTAATTACTTGTTTTTGTATTATTAGCTGCTGGTAAAGCAAATGGACCAATAAAATTTGAATAATTTGTATAAGCATAACCATTACCATTTGTTGTTGCTGTTGTTGTTGGTGTTGCTGTCGGAGAAGTAGCTGATTGTTGACTTTGACCATTTTGTAATCGAGATAGAATATTTCTTTCAGACATATTAAGTCGTTGAGAAACAGGTGGAAGTCGAGCTAATGTTGCGGGTAATTTATTTATTTCTTGTTTCATATCACTTAATAATTCTTCTAATTGTGTAAGAACTAAAATTTACAAAAAAAAAAAAAGTTGTTTATAACTGATATCATCTTTGAATTTCTTCCAGTTTTTAAAGCTTGTCTTTCATTAAAGAAATCGATAATAGATAAAACTATGTTATTTACACTATTTCAAAAGTAAAATATAAAACTTTCAATTTCATGCAATGTTCAATTGACATATGAGTGTTATCAGCAACTTGCTGCAGAACCACAGAGACTAAGATAATATAGAAACTCATTAACCTTCATCCTTTCGGATGAATGATGTGCGGCAAGTACCGACAGTCGGTGGATACGATCATCATAATACCGTTTTTTGAATTTAGACTTTCGAATCCAAAATTTAGACAAAACTTTGTCCGAACTGTACTTCTAATTTGAACGAAATTTTTTAATCGGAACCTGACAGTCACTATGAAGATGTG